ACATTAGAAGCAAGAATCACCAACCCAGCCAGTGATGTGGTAGCTGAGGCGGCTGGATCCTACAAGGTCGACTGTGCAATTTGAGTCCTGGACTTGGGGACTTGAAAAACATGCTGGGTAGGGACCAGCACTTAGCGTAATGGCTATGTGGCTGGATTCCCATGTAGTCAACTGTGGTTCGAGTCCCGGACCCAGTAGCTTAAACTCACGGCAGGCGCGTGTGTGTTCATGCCCAAGATCCTGAGGGGAGAATAGAGGAGAATGGATTGCAGTGTGGCCATTCTCCCTGGGGGGGGATTTCTTACTTCCTGTCTCTCTGAAATTTGTTTTCGGCGAAGTGCCTCCCCCCTATAACAAAAAGCCCCTAAAAAAAAAAAAAAAAAAAAAACCATGCTGGGTAAATGTGCATGTGTGTGCCCAAAATACCACATGGAAGGAGAGATGGACAAGGAATTGCAGCGTGACCATCCCGCTTAAGAGGCTCACGCTCTTGCTTTTCTCAAGTGAGCCCATGTGCCCTCTAACAAAATCTTTTAAAAAGAGAAAATCACCATTGCTGTCATTTCTAGTTAGAAGTCAACAGAGTAGAAGTTGGGGGCTAGATGGTAGCATGGCGGTCAAACACAATGCTCGTCCAGGCTGGCCCACAGAGGAAGGTATGGGTTCATATCCAGAGACCTCCCCGCGTATGCCAGGCTTGTGTGTCCATGATCCCGGCTGACTGAGGTTGGGGGTGGGTCATAGTATGAAGACTCTATCAGGGGTTCTGCTTCTCTCTCTCTCTCCCCCTCTCTCTCTCTCACTCATGAAAGAAAAAAAAAATTACTTTTAAAAAGTATACAAGTAGAAGCTATCCAAGAAACTGAGGTGTATGCAGTGAAGAAGGCCTTGCTACCCTACCATCTCCTACCTCCAGTGAACCACCAGAGCATGCCCAGTGCCGAGGAGTTACTCTGTGGCTGTGTCCTGAAACTTAGAGTACGGCAGCCACTGGCTGTCCCATACTCTGTGCTCTGACAGCAGCAGAGACCATGCAGGAAGGCTGAGTATCACCTTAGACAATTATCTCAACAGTGGTCCGAGCCCCCTTCCTGTCCTGCCTGTCAGGAGTTCTCTATGCCTGGTGAAGGAAGTCTATGCCAGCCCGTCCTTGGCAGCCTGCCACCATGCAATGCCACAGTCTGGATTGCAGGTGACACACCTTTACACCAGGTGCAAACAGCAGCAGGAGGCCAAAGTCCGGTGAGCCAACACACCTGTTCTCTATGTGACTCAGAGACATACAGAGATAGACGAGTATTCAGTGCAGTTGGAGGAGACAGGATCCCATTAACCCCACATTTCTTCACATTGGCCATCATCTTACAAACATACCCACAGCCTGCTAGGTCAGAGAAGTAGAAAGATGGATAAGATAGTCCTTTTCTATGTGTTGAGGTTTTATAAACGTTTTTTATTTCAAAATAATTCCAAACTACACAGTTCTAGTCCCAGATTCGGTAGCTTAAAAACTCATATGAGGCACATGTGTATGCATGCCCAAAATCCCAAGAGGAGAATGGAGGAAAAGGGGTTGTGGTGTGGCCACCCCTGGAGGTGATTTCTCTGTCTGGCAAGCACACACGCCCTAAAGCAAAAACCTCTCCCCCCCCAAAAGAAAAAATGGGGGGTAAAAGACAATAACAATAACAATACAGTAAAATAATATAAATTTCAAAATATAGTATGACTCACATGGCATTTGCATTGTATTTGATATTGTAAGTAATCTAGAGATGATTAAAGTATATGGGGAGGATATGCATAGGTCATATTGCAAATACTGTACAACTTTACATGAGGACCTTAAACATCTACTGATTTTGGTATCCTTGACTTGTAGGAGGTCCTGAAACTCATCCCTGCAGATACTGAGGGACTACTGTATTTATTTTGGTTTGCGTATATCAGTATTTCACAGACCATGTCTTTCAAAAATGCATAATTAAGGAAGGAGGCTTTTTTGTTGAAGTACATGTTGGTTAAAGTATATGGGAGGATATGCATAGGTCATATCGCAAATACTGTACGACTTTACGTGAGGACCTTAAACATCTACTGATTTTGGTATCCTTGACTTGTAGGAGGTCCTGAAACTCATCCCTGCAGATACTGAGGGACTACTGTATTTATTTTGGTTTGCGTATATCAGTATTTCACAGACCATGTCTTTCAAAAATGCATAATTAAGGAAGGAGGCTTTTTTGTTGAAGTACATGTTGAATACTCTTTCTTGGAGTGGC